GAAGAAGATATTGCAAACTTAAAGGTAAATATAAGTCATTATTTAATAGTGACACAAAACTGTAACACTGAGAAGGTCACTATCATAAAACAACAAGATATGCTCCTCTGTAAAATTAACTTAATTTCTAAGGCTAGTGTAAATACAGCTCAGAAATGGTCATTTTTGAGTGTTAGGAAAAACAGTCCTCCTTGACTTCTCTCCTAGTTCTCCTGTGACCTCTTTAGGTGCCTCTCCAACAAAGTTCCTTTCTTCTGCTCAGAAAACGTTTTCCTCAACAACTCACCTTCAGCTTTTTCTCCTTTTCACTCTACGAATATTCCCAGGCCAGTTCATCAATTCCCATGGCTCTCATATTTCCTTTGTAAGTTTCAAATCCCCATATTTCCAACATCTAACTAGACCTCTTTGGGAGCTTTGGTGGCATAGTGCCCAAGGCATTTGACTGTTAACCAAAAGTCTGGAGGTTCAAACTCACCAGCCACTCCTCGGAAGGAAGACTGGGCAATCTACTTCGGTAAGCCTCGGAAACCCAAAGAAGGGTCACTATGAGTCAGAGTCCACTGGATGGCAGTGAATTTGGTTTTTTGGTAACCAGACCTCTTTACCTCGAACTATCATAAACATCTCAAAGTTAACAAGTACAAAATGCGATTTCCCCCTAAAATGCCTCTGGTCTTATTTTTCCTTCTTTTTTCACTTCCTTTGATAGGTAGATGGTAATACAAAATTTCCAATTTAGGAAACTAAATGTGATCTCTACTCCTCCCTTTCCTTGTCTCCCCCCAGCCTGTCAACTCTGCCAAAGAAGTGTGTGAATTCCCTCCCTGAGCTGCCCTCCTCGCCATCTTCACCACAGCAGTAATTCAGGCCCTAAACTGCTCTCCCCTGAACTACTTCAACTTCCTCCTAATATTCCAGTATTCCCCCACCCAGGTATTCTCATTTTATTTTTCAGGCGGCTACAAGAACCTCCACTGGCTTCCCACTGAGCCCTGACATCTTCACATAGTCTACAGAATTCTCTTCAGTCGGGTCCCAGCCCACCTTCCCAGCTCCACTTCTAGCTGTTCTCCCATGGACACTATAAACCAATAATGGCCGTGCACCGGTCACTTCTACACTCTCACAGAGCTGCTTCCTGCTCTAGAGTCCCACAACACATGAGATGGGCCTCAATCATGGCATATATTATTAATCTTTATTGCTATGTCAAGGAGCTAGTGTAGAATAGTGGTTAAGTCTGTGATTCTGGAGCAAAAATGTCTGGGTTCACATTCTAGGTAGGTAGCCATAAATAGAAGTAATAAAAAAATAGCAAACCAAAACCAAACTCACTGGCATCGAGTCAGATCCGACTCATAGCAACCCCTCCTTGGGTTTCTGAGGCAGTAACACTATGGAACTAGATTGCCCAACCTTTCTCCCGAGGAGTGGCCTGTGGGTTTGAACCACCAGCCTTCTGGTTAGCAGTCAAATGCCTTAGGCACTACACCACCAGAGCTCCTAAATAAAATAGAGGTAGTAATAATTTTTATAGAGTTGTAAGATTAAATCAGGAGACTGAAAAAACAGCTAACAGACTGCCTGGAACATTAAAAAAAAAAAAAAAATTGCATTGAGTCAATTTTGACTCACCGCAACTTCAAGCATATCAAACTATAACTGTGTTCTTTAAGGTTTTCAACAGCTAAAATCTTACCTAAAGGAACTCTGGTGGTGCAGTGGTTAAGAGCTTGGCTGCTAAATGAAAGGTCAGCAGTTCAGACTACCAGCAGCCACTCTGCAGGAGAAAGATGCAGTAGTCTGTGCCCATAAAGATTAGTCTTAGAACTCATCGGGCAGTTCTACTCTGTCCAATAAGGTCCCAATGAGTCAGAATTCACTTGATGGCAACAGGTTTGTTGTTTTTCTGTTTCTCTGTTCGTTTGTTTTTCATTTTACCAATCCTACTAAAGAACATCACATTTGGTAAAACAGAGGGTCAGTGAAAATGAGGGAAACCTTCAACAAGCTGGAAGGACACAACACCCACAACAACGGTCTCAAACATATCAAGGATCATGGAGATGGAGCAGGACCAAGCAGCATCCCATGGGGTCACCATGAGTCTGGGCATGAGTCAGTGGCAGCTAGCCACAACAAAGACACGCTACGACCTGAAAGAAACAGTGAAGTAACAATAGAGCATACATACTTAAGTTACTTAGGAGACCAAAAATGGAATCACAATGTTGTATTTCCTAAGGAGTTTTAAGCTAGGCAATCAGGTAGGTGATTTGAATGACCAGCATTGTTAAGACCCCTCAAGTTTTCAGTTCCAGTTTCCAAAATGTTTTGAAGCCAGGGGTGGCACGGATGAGGCATAAAAGCAAAGTTAAGAACATGTTCTTCCTTTCCCTTCATTCCTTTCCTTCACATACTTCCTTCTTTCATTTAATTTTAAGCCAATACTTCACTCACATTATACTAAATAGTAATTTCAAATGACGAAAAAATGTGGATAAAATATAAACGTAAATAGTAAATAACAGCAAAACACATTCGTAAATCAGACTCTAAATATCGAACAAAATTTCAGTGGAAATTTTCCATTTATTTAAAGGGGGGCATCCTTAGTTACAAGTGCCTAAGGCACTTGACTGCTAACCAGAAGACTGGCACTTCAAACCCACCAGCCACTCCTCAAAAGGAAGGTTGGGCAGTCTACTTCCCTAGTGATACTGCCTTGGAAACCCAAGAAGGGGTCGCTATGAGTCAGGTCCAACTCGAGGGCACTTAACAACAACCACCCCAACTGCATTTCATCAAATTCCCACAGCCAGAACTGACTAAAACATGAGGATAGAAAACATAATAGGTTTAACAGGGTCAAATGAAAGTTCAGTGATACTCTTTATTCAAACCCACCAGTTTTGCCATTTACTAGTCATATAACCTTACGCAACCTCAGATTCATCATCCACCAAATGAAGGTGATAATACAATCTCATAAGTTTTTTTATGAGGATTAAATGAGCACAGTGCATGACACAGATTAAGCATTTAGTAAATCATATGTTCTTATGATGATGTTTGTTAAATCTTTTATCAATTTTCATAAACTATGGTACCTATGTAAAATGGAATAGTATCAAAACATGAGGCAGTTCTATACATACTAATATGGTGATCTCTAAGATATGCTAAATTTAAAAAAGGAAAAGAGCAGTGTATACTCCCACATCGATTTTTTAAAAACACAGATAATTATATGCAAGTTCCAGAATGTCTCTGAAAGAACACATAAGAACAGAACAGATTGTCTGTGGCTAGGGGAGAGATGGAGAAGAGTCTTAATTGTCACTGGATTCATTCTTGTACGTTTTGAATTTTGTGTACGTGTTCTTGCCTACTCCAAAAATAAAATGTGTATTAGCACATATTGGAATGCTATGCAGCACTAAAGAATAATGTAGGGTCTGAAAAACACCACATCATATGGATGAACTGGGAGGACAGTACGCTGAGTTAAATAAATCAATCACAGAAGGACAAATATAGTATTAGTTC